GGTGGGGAATCCTGACTGTCCTGAGTCTAGCCGTGTGCTTGGCCGAGGGAATGATTCCCGAGGTACCTCCGGGGGAGCGTCTCCTGGGGAAGTGTGAGCAGTGTCGGACTGCCACAGATACCAGACGAATAATTAACTGTCCTCCGGAACGACAAAAGGGGTTTTGTTTGTCTAACGGCACTCAGTATAATCTTTGTGAATTAAAGGGGGAGGTCTGGTGTTACCACTCAGGGGCAGGTTTTAAGGACGGGCAGTCTAAGACTCCTATGAGAAGAAAAACCAAAGCTACCCACTTCAGGTATAAGAGAGAAGTGGGAATGCTTCCTCCGATTCCAACCTGTAGCCAATGTAATAAAACTGTCTGGATAGGAGGAAAAAGACAATCCACCTTTTTAGCATATTATAAAGTCAACCCTTTGTGTTTCAATAAAGCAAACTTAAAAATGTGTACCATAAGAAGGAAATTGTATTGGGAAGGTAAAAATTTAAAACATGAAGAAAAATGAGTAATTAATGAACCCTTTAGTAATGAACCGATAATTCTTGATTTGTTAAAAAAATGATGATGACCGAGTATGTTTACAATTCGATCAAGTGTTCTGCTTCTCCAGAGATGAGGAAGGGATGAACCCTGAAAGCAAAATAAAAACAACCCTTCTCAGAAATACTGTGGGAATTCACTTACAGACTAGGAAGAAGACGAATATTGTTAAACACGAATTTTTAATGTGATAAATTATTAGGCGGGGGACTGTGATAAATATAACATTGGATAAAAATTCGTGAAAGAGAATAAAGAATTATATGTTATATTTGTAATACTGTAAAGATGCAAAATGTAAAATAATCCAGAGATACCTTCCCGAGTCGGGCAGTAACGACCGGCAGCAACGCTTATCAACACAAAATAAAAAGCAGGACACAAGCAATCAAACCAGACAATGAGAGTGGCTCCGTCGAGATATCCATCTCCTCCACACCCAAACTGGCCACTCCATTCCGGGAAATGCAATCGGAGGACACTCAGAGCCTCTCACATGTGAAAGGACTCTGCTCCACCGACCATTGACTCAGCTCAACGGATCCGGGAAGTCTATTCAAACTCTTTTGTTAGACGGTGCTTACTCCGGATTTTGCCCCAGGATACGAAAACCCCTATAAGAACCCCGGACTGCAGTACCTACTTCGTGGATTTGGGTAAATCTGTACCTCTGGGTATAGACATCTCCCTGTCCACCCAGCGCTGCGCTGATTTATTTTATTGTGGTTTTTTCTCTCGTTGTTTGTGATTGAAATAGTTTTATAATAAATTGCTTTTTATATTAACTCTATTTTTGCCATTGCATTTATAACACAACTATCCGAAAAAGGCATGACTGAGCTACACTTGGTACTCAGTAGGACTCACTGATTCTAAGGTCTTCAGCTGAGCAAGAAGGTCAAGGATCTCACAGGGGTTTTTAACATCACTACGCCTTCAGATGCACCAGCAGGTCTAGGGTTTTCCAAAGAGCACAGGGAGCATTTAGCTTAAACAGCAACTTACTTTACAAGGTTTCTCATAATGTTCATAGCAGACCCTCTGTACCCTGAACCAAAATGGTTCCAATGGTTCATGTAGTGGAACAGCTGATAAAGTTTCAGGCGTTTCTCAAACCCTGCAGCTCTGGGGATTTTACTGTGATAAGCAGAATAGAAAAAGCTGCTGAAGCCACCAAACATCCCAGCTACTGCACGATCATACTCTGAATGGCCGCAGAAAGAAGCTGGATCAAAGATAATTGGACCAGAATCATCCTCAGCTACATTTCCTCCCCAGAGATCCCCGTGCAGGAGTGAAGGAACAATTTCTACACCACAGAAAAAAACTGAGTATCTTCAGCTGCAGGGGGGAAAAGCAAGACATGTAAATTACTACAACCATTCACCTTAAAATGTAGAGGTTTATCTGCATTCTTTAAACTTTAAAAGCCAGTTAAATAAACATGTAACTTCAAACAGCACAAGACCTATTTCACAGAGATGCTCAGCAAACTCAGAGGATTCCTCTTTTTTCATAAAAGTCAACAGCAGAATAGTGTGAGGTGCCCCCCGCCCAGGGAGGCAAAGATTTAGTTTCAGATAAGCATTGTTAAAGTGAGAGGCGTGGCTTTAAAACCTGGGAAGAGTGGATTCCATTCCTTTCCCTCGGGGGAAGGGCCCTGTGAGCCCAGGAAGAATTGCCCGACCCCAGAGCCTCCTGGGGTGGCAGCCCAGGGAGTTCTGATTGGGTTTGAGTCCCTGGGGTTTCTCCCTTGCTTGTTCCTATTAGACCCTGACCTTGAACTCCACCCTGCCTCTGTTCGGGGCTCTCTGTCTCTGGGTCTAAGCTAGGTTTGTTCCTGTGTTGAATAAATGGTTTCCTGAGCAGAAGCCCATCTCATTGGAGTCCCATGTTGGTTGGTCCCTGGTAACTGTAGCCTGCCTGGACATGATCCTGGAGCCCCGGAATGCAACAGAATAGTAACCCAAATATCTTTTTGGAAAACCGTAAAGAATTTTAAATTGCATTTGGTCCTCTAATACTGACCAGATCTAATAACAACCACCACCAGTTCATCATTGGAAGTGTTATAAATGCAATGGCAAAAATAGGGTTAATATAAAAAGCGATTTATTATAAAACAATTTCAATCACAAACAACGAGAGAAAAAAACCACAATAAATCAGCGCAGCGCTGGGTGGACAGGGAGACGTCTATACCCGGAGGTACAGATTTACCCAAATCCACGAAGGAGGGTAGACTGTCCGGGGTTTTTATAGGGATTTTGTGTCCTGAGGCCAAAACTCCGAGCAGTTACTGTTCAACAAAGAGTTTGGATGGCTGGTTGAATGAATTTCCTGGAACCGTGGAACTGAATCAATAGACGACTGGGCAGAGTCCGTTCGCATGTGAAAGGTTCTGAGTGCTTCTTGATTGTATCTTCGGTTGGACTCTCAGAGTGAAGTATCCAGGTCCGGTGCGGAGTCGACGGATATCTCGGCTGGGCTCCTCTTATTGTCCGGCCTGATTGCATCTTCAGTTGGGGCTTGCAGGAAGGGGTGCCCAGGTGCGGTGTGGAGTCGATGGGCATCTCGGCCTGGCTCCTTTCTTTGTTTAGCTTAATTGTTCGTGTCCTGCTTTTTCTTTCAGGCTGATGAACGTCGCCTAGGGTTGTTACCGCCTGAATGGGTAGTTACTGCTGGGTTTGGGAGAAATTCTTAGGCCACACTATATTTTATATAATTTTTACATTGTTACAAATCCAGTTATATACTTATTTATTCTTTCACGAATTTTTATCCAAGGTTACATTTATCACAGAAGGCTCAGGCATCTCTCAGCAACCTTAAGGTAGTACCCAAAGAGCCAAAACTGCAGTCACTTAACCAGATGCAAACAGTAAATCTACAATGTGCTGAACTGTACCGCTTATGTACATTTCTCACCATGGAAGTGTTCCAGGGAGTGAGAAATATCATCTCCATCCGTAAGATTTCCCAAACAGTAAGGCGAAGTGCTGTCTGGCACTTTGGAATTCACTCTGGAATGTTAGCATAGGGTGATGTGGCAAAAGCCATTACACCTTAGAATAAAGGGCACTTTAATCCCTGAAAACTTGAGTCTCTTACCAACAGAGTCTGGTGCAAACCAACAAACAGGAACTTTGTTTTAAGAAAATAAGATTAAGATAACTGATGTCAGCTGTCACTGTAATGAGAACTGAGAGAACTGCTTGTACCTGAAGCTGTGCCCAAAGTTCCCTTGCTTCCCTGTCTCCTGAGCTTCTTTCAGTCAGGTCCATCTGGGGCTGGATCCTTTGTCTGGCAAAGAAACTCACCTAGTCACTGTGCCAGTTGTTCACCTGAAGGAACAGGATTGCAGATGTCAGTTCTACACCACACAAATGGCAGATTTTCTTCTTTTTCAAATAAACCTTCTGTGGACCACGTAGCCTTTGTGCTGGTACCATCTAGGACATTAAGTGCTACCATTTAATTGAATGTTATCTTAAAATGGTAATCTGGGGGAATAAATAATTTTCTCTTAGTGACTAAAACCAAAAAAATTGAAGAGCCATCAGTGTCCAATGCAGCTATAAGTGCTGTCCAAAGCACTACTTTTCTTAGCAGGATAAACTATGCTTCTTCTTATTCATGGCTCCATAAAAAAATACTTATTTATATTATGATAATTTTGACCCTTTGTGTCACCCAAGGAAAAATGAGGTCAACTTAAAATTCTAGCAGTCTAATGAAGTACAACCTACCTGTGGAAGATAACCACAGAAGGTAACTGTATGAAAGCCAAACCGATCCACAGACTGGACTTCCATTTGCCCTTGTCCTTTACCTTTCAAAGCAAAGACAAAAATTCAGCACCAGTGAAAAAATACTGAGCATCCACAATGCAAATGAATCTTAAAAAAACTATGCATGGGTACAATGCTGCTTTCACTGAGAATAAAAAAAATTGAACTTTAAAGTTTTTTTTTGTTACAACAGTTGCTGCTGCTGGATTTTAAATTTAAGGTCAGTATAAAGCAGCCATATTATATTCTTTTACTTTTATATTTTGAGGTACTGTGTCTCTTCTGATACCATGGATGGTATCTATAATGTCCTTGTACAGACTGTGGCTCAGGCTCCCAAACTGAATATGTGTTTTGCTCACAGAGATCCAAACAGGGCAAACAAAAGCAAAAAGAAGAACCCCCCTACCTGTGTGTTTCATCCCAACATAGTCTCATACTATCTTTAGGGGAAGAAGATGAACCTGTCCAGAAGTGGCAAAAGCTATTTTAATTATTTTGTAAATTATCAATCAGATTTGCCAACAGCTGTGTACTGCACCAACTGTGCTCCCTTCTTCCTTCATCTTCTTTTGAAGTTGCTGGTTATGGAGGTGAAGATCAGCCAGCTGAGTTCCAAGCAGTGCTGAATAACTAAGAAACAAAAAAAAACATTAGCAACTCTTACACATGAACGAATCCAGACCTTGATACTTCAGGAGTTACTTGAAAATGTTTGTTAAGCGAGTAGAAGTTCTCCATCTCTAACAAAATAACTTCCCAAAGTATTCCAGTATTTGTAAGAGACGGTCCAAAGATTCTCTCATCTGTCTCACAATTGTCTCAAGGACAGAGACTGAGACCCTGAATATCACGAGGGACTTGGTTTGGGGATTTGGGCCTAGCTGAAGTGGACGTTTGCTAAGTGATTGTTTGTAGGTGGTTGCACGGTACACTGCCCTCGTTCCTGCTGGTGAGCAGAGGCTTGTGCGTGGTACCCTGCACAATGGGTTTCCACGACACATTGCCCTTGTTCCTGCTGGCGAGCAAAGGCTTGCAAGACGTGGTTTGCTCTGTACCCTACACCTGCCCCCCTGCGCAATGGAATTCATCACAGTGATTATCAGTCTCCTCTGTTTTTGGCCCTGTGCCCCTCGCTTTGTAAAACACTATAAAATCACACCCCAAATTTACCTTCCTTTGAGATCTCCCCAACGGACAGAAGACTCTGTGTTGTTGGATGGCTGAGTGGACTTTGACATTGGTAGCTATAATCCCCTTACTCTCTTTTTCTTATGCTTTGCTTTCTCCTCTTTTCTCTCTATATCGCATATTAGTGCTGATGAGCACTCAATAAAGTGTGTTTTGCTATTTAAGTCCTTGGTTTGCTGATAATCTTTTGTACTCTAAGACTGACTAAAAGAACCACATCACGAGTCCCACCTTGCAGATCGTGACAGTATTGTAAACACTTTGTCTTCCTATCAAGACTGCATATTAATATAGACAAAATATACTTGGTTGTTTCTGACACCATTATTGAAAGTGAAATCATAAATTACATAATCATAACGATAAACAATGATTTCATAATCATAACAGTGATAAACTACCAATTCTAATTCCTGTGTGATATCACTTCCATAAGCATTTTCAGTAACGTATGTGTAAGAAAGCATTCACATAACATGGGACATGTTATGTTTTATTTTTTTCCCTCTGGCAAACTGTCTTTGGAAAATAGAACCAAACAAGGCTGATCCTCTTCTATCACTGTCTCTGGCTGCTCTTCTCTAAAAGGCCTCAAAGGTGGGTGTCAGATTGGTCTAGTTTATTACGTATTTTTAATAAAAGCTGATCCTTTACAAAGTTCAGGAAAGTCCTGTAGTAATTGCAAACAACCCTTACGATCAGTTGCCCCCTGTGTAAACAAAATTATATTCCTTTTCCTTTTTTTGACCTTTCTCAACTTTCTCTATTCTAAAGCTGTTGTCATTTAAAGCAAATTTAGTTCTTCATTTTGTTCCTGTTAACACAGATTGTACCTATCCCCCAGAATTTGCACTCTAAAACTTGAAATCCAAACCAGTAAGATCTCTGCCCTTTCTCTTGGGAGAAAGACAGCTCTCTCACTAGAGCTCTTCATGAATCAGAAACCCTAGCAATGAGCAGGATGAGGGACAAGACTTTAAACTGGCTACAGAAGTTCTGAAAGTGAGATAAGAAACTGGTCATGATCACCTCCCCAGTGGAATCAGATGGGATTCATCATATTTAGTGCTGGCCACAAAGAAGGGTCAAAAGTTTGAAACCATCAAAATTAAGGTTCAGAGTTGTAAAAATACTGAAATCATGGTTAAGTTATTTGGGAAAGTGCCTCTGCATACTCATGGCAAGCATTAGAACACTGATTCTTACATCAAAGGCAAGTACACAAAGCAAGTGATCAGGTTGGTCATTTTCTTTATCATAAAAAAAAACCTTATTGTAAAAACCACTAATAACCTAAACAAACCAAGCCAAAAGTAACCAAAACCCAGACTCACTTCTTGATGTATTATCAGTTTGCTAGGTGAGGCATGATGAATTATTTCATACAGTTCTCTGCTGTACAGCTTCCCATATGTCCCTTGACTTGCTTTACACAAAATTCAAATAAGTTTCTCCTATGTAAACAAGTAATTTAACTGACATAAGAACCAAAATTTCTGGTCAAAGCAGGCAAAAATAACTGTTTTACCTATTTAAGCTCTTCATTTCCAAATGTTCCATCACCAGCGCAGTATTGTCTTCAGGCAGTTCTACAACCTTGATGGCTTTAGGCATTCTTACTGTCTGCCTTTTCAGGATGGCTTCCAAACTTGCCATTTCTCCCAGAAACATTCTTCCGACCTGCCAAATATTAAAGAAAAACATTAGTCTCTATAAGCATCAGTCACAGGTAAAATTAAATAAAATATAAAATAAACGAAAAGTTTGGAGCAAATATTTATTGATGCACACAATACAGACAGAACTGCATCATCAGGCTTGATGTTTGTAAAACAAAGTGAAAAGTAACTTAGGTTCTAGCATTCTCTGTAACTTAGGAACTCTGTTTACAGTTGAAAGAGTGCAAACTGCATGCACACAAAATGAATGCAATATTCCATTAATACAGCAAATGTTTAGGAAGCCATGGACAATATACACCAACAGTTGCTAAGCTAGAAGAATGGTGCTGACATTCACAGACACTATGACTTTCCAGACCAAGTAATAGAATCAAGCTTCAAAAACAGCTCTATTTGCAGCCACAGAATTACAGAACCATACAAATTTTAAGGTTGAAAAAGCCCTCTGAGACCCCTGAGTCCAACCACTAACCCAGCACTGCCCTGGGCACTCTGTGCCAGTGTCTGACCACCCTGTTCATGAAGAAATTTTCTCCAATATCCCATCTAAACCTCCCCTGACACCACCTGAGGTTGCTTCTTCTCACTTGTTCCCTGGGAGCAGAGCCTAACCATGCATCCTCTGGTCAGGGAGCTGATTTGTGCAGAGCCACAAGGTCCCCCTGAGCCTCCTTTTCTCCAGGCTCAGTCCCTTTCGCAGCTCCCTCAGCCGTTCCTGGTGCTCCAGCCCCTTCCCCAGCTCCGCTCCCTTCTCTTGACATCCTCCAGCCCCTCAATGCTTTCCTTGTCATGAGATGCCCAATACTGCCCGCAGGATTCGAGGTGTGGCCACAGCACTACCAAGCACAAAGAACGGTCACTGCCCTGCTCCTGCTGCCACAGCAGGACTGGCACGACCCAGGGATGCTGCTCCCCACCGCGGCGCCCGTCCAGCCCTGGCACCCCCGATCCCCACCCCGCCACACCTCCCCCGCGCAGCTGCTCTTCACGAACACCAGGCCGGGGTCCGTGTCGTAGCTCCGGCCCTGGCTGATGCAGCCGCCGCCCGAGTGCCCGGTCGGCCGCAGCACTGCGGTGCCCAGAGCTCGCTTCAGCGCGCCCTCCATGGTGGCAGCTGTGAGGGCAGCCTCGGGCGGGAAAAGAATTAAAGGCACGGGGAAAGGCGGGGCGAGAAGGGGCGGGCAAAGGGCAGCTGGGGCGGAGAAAGGGCCCGGGCTCTGGTGTCGAAGGGCTTTCTCGCTCCTCGTATATCGATTTGCTCGCGTGTTCAGTTTTGTTCTTGTGTTCACGACAGAATCAACTCCAGAATCGCAGAACGTTCTGAATTGGAAAGGGCCCCACAAGGTTCGTCGAGTCCAATTCCTGCCCCTCCATAGGACACTCCAACAATCACACCCTGTGCCCGAGAGCATTCTTCAAATGTGCACTTTGAGCTCTGCCAGGCTGGGGCTGTGACCACTTCCCTGGGGAACCTGTTCCAGTGCACGAACACCCTCTGGGGGAAGAAACTTCTCCCAGTATCCAACCTAAACCTGCCCTGGCACAATTTCAGGTCCTCTTGGGTCCTGTCACTGGACATCTCTGCACAGAGCAGAGATGAGTGTCTGTCCCTTCTCTCTCCCTCACAGTTAAATACAGCAATGAGGTCTCTCCTCAGACTAATTGGGAAAGAGCTCTGAGATCATCACGTCCAGCCTGTGACCAGATACCCCCTTGTCAACCAGACCATGTCATGGCATGACTTAAAGGCTTCCAGGGACAGCAACTCCAGCACCTCCCTGGACAGCCCTTTCCAGGGTCTAATCACCATTTCTGTGAAGAAATTCCTCCTAATGTCCAACCTAAACCTCTGCTGGTGCAGCTTAAGGCTGTGTCCTCTCATCCTGTCCTTTGCTCTCTGGGAGCAGAGCCTGACCCCCACCTGGCTGCACCCTCGTGTCAGGGAGCTGTGGAGAACCAGAAAATCCCCCTGAGCCTCATTTTCTCCAGGCTGAGCCCCCCCAGCTGCTTCTCATCGAACTTGTATTCCAGCCCTCCACCCAGCTGTTGAGCTGGTGGTTTTCTTGGGTTGGTGGCCACAAGTTGGTGACCACAATTTCCCCTGCCACAATTACACTTTACCCAGTTTGATGAGCTGGCCTTATTTTGTTCCTCGTAATCTGGCCTTGTCTTGGCTGTTTGGCCAAGTGTCCTTGATCTGAAGATGCCAGCATTCTGTTATGTCTGGTTTTAGTTGTTTTATTACCTCAATTTACTTGCTTTTATCATTATTTTATAGTTTCTGCAATTGCTGAGATGTTAAACATTATTTATCTATCTGTAAGCCTGATGGTTTGTGGTAGTGCACATTCCTGGGCGTTCCTTAGTTTCTGTGTAAGCCCGCCCCACAGCTGTGACGTGTTTTTCCCTTCTCCTCCCTGTCCCTGAAATGTTATCCCATTGGTTGGTGTTATATGTCTCCCCGCCTGTCCTGGGGTGACTTTATGATACTGGTATCCCCAATCGTCTGGTTTATGTTATATATTAAGTTCTGCACCTTTAAGACTGGCTTTGAGAGCAAGAGAGGGGGAAGAAGAAGCGCGCAGTTTGTGCTAAGGAAAAACATCACTCCCACACATCTCGCTCCTGGACTGTGGTGTCTGCAGCACGGACAGACAGCGGGACAGAGCTTCTCTCTGGCTTTTAGTTAGTTCTAGATAGCTGAGGCAGAGGAGTTCCCTGGAACTTTGTTTGTTTTTTTCCCCAATTTTCTTGGATCTGTGCAAGCCTGCTCTGAACTGAACACCCAGCCAAACCCCGGGAGCTCACGCCTGTGGCCCACCGGGGCCTGGGCCTCAGCACTTTCCAGCGACGGAGGGACTGATAAGAACCTGAGCGAGCCGAGCTACACCACATGAAAAAGACTTTTTTTTTCCTCCTAGATTTGCCATCCCATCGAACAGCAAGAAGTTTTATTATTTAATATTACTCAATTTCTGTTAAATAAACAGCTTTTTCCACTGCTCTCTAAAAAATTTTTTCTTTTCCCGGACCAGTTAGTGGGGAGGAGCACTTCCCTGGGGAAATCCCCATTTAGAGTTTTCCTTCCTAATTTGCCCTAAACTAAGACACCGCCCCTCTCCCGAGGTTTGAAAATGCCCGGGAGATGTTCCTCTTTCTCTTTTTCCTCCCAGATCCCAGCCTGAATAAACATCCAACGTTATCCCGGAGGGAAAAGCAGCCCTTTGGTCTTTTATCTTGGTCATGAAGAACCCCCCATCCCTCCCCTCGACATAGCTAGCCCGGATAACTTCGGGGGGGACAAAGGGGGCTTCCTTCAATGGTTTATCACTATCAAGTACTTGATTTCTGCCTTGAAATTTAGCTTTATTATTCTGATCCCAAGGATGGAGCTCCTCTTCTATGGAGACGGGTGGGGAGAGCTGGGGGTCTCAGCCTGGAGAAAGGAAAGCTCCAGGGAGACCTTTGAGACTCTTCCAGAGCCTAGAAGGACTCCAGGAGAGCTGGAGAGAGACTTTGGACAAAATCTGGAGTGACTGGACAGGGTGTGATGTCTTCAGACTGGAAGAGGGTTAAATTGGATATTGGGAAGAAATTCTTCCCTGTAAGGGTGGTGAGGCCCTGGTACAGGGTGCCCAGGGAAGCTGTGGCTGCCTCATCCCTTCAAGTGTCCAAGGCCAAGTTAGACAGGGCTTGAAGCAACCTGGAACAGTGGAAGCTGTCCCTTCCCATGGCAGGGGAATGGAACAAAGTGATGTTTAGTGCCCTTTCAAACCAAACTATTCATTGATTCAATGAAAGCAAAGATCCACAGAGAGCTCTGTCTGGCATTGCCATTCCTTTTGTCTCCTTTGAAAGCTTTCAGGAGCTGTAAGCCTTATGATTTTGTGTTTTGAGGAGTAAGTCCCACTTATTCTGTGGTGGTGTTTGTGAGGATGGAGGAACAACAGTGGGGAAAAATTGATGGGAGCAGTAATGGGCAATAATGATGTGTACCTGAGAAAAGAAAGAAAAAATCAATAAAAGTTTTGTAAAAGTGCTATGATTCATGCTCTATGAACCTTCTGTTTATACTCATTTACCTCCCATTTTATTTTTCACAGTATTGCTGAAACTGGCAGAACTTTTAGAGTTTCAAAGTTTATGCTTTCAAAACGGAACATAGGACATTCAAAGCCTATTTTGATTTTTCAGACAAGTGATGCAGTTAAGCTGTATCCCATCACCAAGCAGAATTCATGCCATAAAGACCAAAGCCAGGTTTCCTGCTGATCATGTGGAATGTCTTGAGCTGAGGTCAGTTCTCTGCACTGGCTTGATGGTGGAGAGAAAAGAGCAGAGAGATGCTGTTTGATCACTTCTAAATACCAGCCTGAGGATTTACAGCAGCTGGGATCAAGGATTAGTGAGATCCTGTGTGGAGCTCACCTGTCTACAGCACCTACAGCATCAAAATGGTGATGGAGTGGAATCTGCCCAGAATGGCACTGGATTTCCAGCACCTTCTGAAGCAGCACACTTACTCAAATGGGCCAGAACAAACCCCCTCCTGTTCACCAGCACATCTTTCCCATTTCTCTGCCTGCAGCACTCTCGCACACTTTGTCAGCCACCCCAGCCAGCGTGTCACCATGGGCAATGTTTGTGTGTCTGAGTGAGCAGGTCAGGTCTACAGGGCAGGCAGTAACACCATCACTGAGCCCTGTTTCAGCGGGCTCCCAACATTTGCTGAATAGCAACATCCACTCCAGGTAGACAAGAGAGATGCAGATTCACGGTGCTGTTTTGCAGCACACAGGCTGTCGTGGACATTCACAAGGCTTCAGAAATGCTCAGTGCAAGTGGAGCAAAACCTTCCATTAAAGCGCTGTCAGGTCCAACGATGAACTGCAGTGCTGGACCTCTTCAGCAGCACTGACCTCCAGCTGCAGTACAGGCACAGTCTGTAACCCAGAGGGCGCAGGTGAGTACAGGTCAGTGCTATGAAAGCGGGGTGAATGAAATAATCCATCAGCTGTGCTGGGTCTCGGTGACACAGGGACAGGGCTTTGAATGATCACACACATTGAGGCAGCTGAGGCAGCATGCTGTGTCCCAAGTGGCAGCTCATGTCAGACCCAGGCATGTGGCTTAGATACAGGGCACAGAACTGCCTGAATGGGTTCCAGTATGGGGAACTCCACGGCATTTTAAGCTGAGCAGCCACACTGTTTATCAGGTGGGAGCTCCCCAATCCGTGGTGCTGCAGCAGGACCCCAGTGAGTTCAACAGCTATTGCAGGCTGCCCACACCCTGGCACTTGGGCATGGATGTGCTCAGGACACAGGGCAGGCACACCCAGGGAAATGTAGTTCTGCATGTGAGGGCTTCTCTTCCTTTGCCACTGAAGAGTAGAGCTGCAAACAACTGCACTAACCCAAGGCACCCAGGGCCAACCTTGTCTCAAGCAGGAAACACAAATGTCCCATCCATGCAACAGAAAGGGGTGACCTTGCCTGCTTTCACACTTCCAAGAATGCAGTGCCTTTGAACCCACAAATTAATGAATAAAAATCACACTCATCTCAGTTACATGAATGCCTGTTTTCTGGAAGGGAAACATTTTCTGGTTCACAGTGACACACAACAGGGTGATTTAATGCTGGAAATTAACTGTTAGCCACACCAAAATTTTGTCAAAAGCACCAAAATCAGATTTGAAAATATAATACTTCCCTTTTCACTTGGCAGCATTTTGGAATAACAAATGCAGCAAGACACCCAAAGAATTGGCTCAGTTTTGACCAAATAATCTATACTTTCACTGGATAGAGTAAGCAATGACTTACATTAAAATAAATCAAAAAGCTGCATGAAATTGTAATAAATGGAATTGATTCATGCTAACTAACTTGTAACTGTTATTAAAGTTATTATTAGAATCAATCAAAAGAATCAGTGTTACAAGACAGGTGCACCCCTTTACAGATGTTACATGTTAAAATTGAGGTACAGGATGTAGTTTGGAAGATAAGTGATGTCCCAAGACAAAAATGGCCTTGAGATGGACAAAATTAGAATGACTTTAGGCATAGGGCCTAAAATTCATTAAATGTAGGACTAGTTA